TCATATAAGTTAATAATGCATTCTATGACATTCCTACATTCTTAAGCGTGGGTCAAACTCGTGTTCTTATTTTTTTCCATAAATCTTTTAGTGAAAAAAGTGAACTGATCCAAGGTTGGGGCTACGAACAGAGCACGCTTGACTCAAAACAGTCAGGGTTTTTAATTGTGAATATCAGAAAATTCATTTTAGAGTATGATTGGATAGTTAAGAAATTTAACTAAAATACTCAACCGAGAAAATAGAAAGCGTGATGCGACAACTATAAACGAAACATCGAACAAGAGGAACTCACCCGTGGTTATCTAAACTTTTGTAACTGCTTTAATAATTTTCTGGGAAAGATCTCGATTAGGTTTTTTTCTTTCTTACGTGAACGACAGTTTGTAAAATGTGTGCTTTCAAAAATTTGTTTATATTGTTCTTCTAATTTTCATGGGTTATCATAGCTTGATGAAGGCATTTCTTTTAAAATAAAAACTTTATAATGATGAGCAATTTTTGTGTGTTAAAAATTCAATTGTAATGGAGATTTAGATGAAGTAAGAAGAAATTAATCTGTTATACTACGCATGATGAACATTACATAATTTTAAACAAAATTTTGGATGATGAGCCACTTTTATGTACAACTAAGGATAAAAAAAATTGAGGATTATTGAGATTTAAGATGATGTAAGTTTTCCTTTCCGTCTGTAGCCCATCTTGGGCATGCTGTGCTCATCCGTCTCCACGCTAACAAATTTCGCCACTTCCGTCGGCTTTAACCACAGGTATGCGGAAGTAAAAGGGAGAATTTCTGGCGCAATTAGAAAAAAGGCAAACAAAATGGGGCGACAGAAGATAGTTAGCGCAAATTGGACAAAATTGATTGTCTAAGCTGGGGAAGTACGTGTTTAAAAAACGACTGTAAACAGGCCGAAAAATGTGAAATTTTACCGCGGGTGGTTTTGATAAGGGACTTTACAAAAGGGTCTATGATTGGAATACACATGAGTTTTTAGGAAGAGTTTGCTGCTAGGAACTTGGTAACGAGGTTAGCGTGGTTTTGTCTGATGGCTGAAAACGAACATTGAAACTTCTTCTAAGTGGTTAAGGTTTAGTGACAGGTGTTGTTCGATCAAAAATGAGTGTGTCGCATTTAAAAGCACTTAAACTGGATTGTCAGGGTACGAGTGATAACAAGGATTTGGGTGACGCGAACGGTTTGTGGAGATTGAAAACTGAGGAGTAAAAAGGGGCGGTGGTTTGAAACATTCAGGATTTCAACTTTACTGTGCAGGTAGGCAGTGGAGCTCATAAGAGTTGAGCCAATTATTACATGGAGAGTTTGCTTTTGGGTAGTCCGCAAATGAATTAAGGAAGTTTTGCTGGCGGCTTGCGTCAAGGCCGGAGAGACATAATCTGAAATAGGACAAATTAAGGCTTTTTAAACTTGTTAGCGCCCTCAAGAATCCTATCCTGCGACGATCCTTCTGCGCAGATCTCTTGCAGTGACTCCTAGAATCTTATTAAGACTTTTCTTATGAGGGAGAGGCTCGTTGATCAAAAAGACATTCGGAGTTTTGCTCAAATTTTTGTTGTTATGCAAAAGCAAGATATTTGACCTTCAAAGGGCGCAAATGCTGGCTTACGGGAGGTTAAAAAGAATAAAAAGGTGGTGCAGGTAACCATTTAGTGAACGCGATGCTTCATCAACGTTGCGGCTTTGGGCGAAAGGGTGGGAATCATCTGCGTATTAGGTGAGGCGAAGATTTCGGCGGCGTGGGGGTGGGGGGTCAAGGCCGTCATGGGCATAAAATTTGAAAGAGCCGGTGATAAAACAATCCCGGGGAACTCCACAGTGAACAATTCTATGCGGACACTTGGTTGTTGAAAAAAGAGGTGGCAGGTCCGGCGCATCAATTATTGCTTGGCCAGCAAACAATACCTATTGCCATCGGTGTGTCATGAATGAGTTCAACTGGTGTTCTATGACATACCAAAATGCCTTATGAAAGGTCAAGTGTGACGAAAGCACTACGTAAAGAGGGCGGTTTTATTTATATCATCAGAGATTTTAAAAAATAAGGGTGGAGAGATCGGTTTTGGTGGAGAAAACTGCGCGGAACCCGAGTCAGTCTGGCATTTGGGAAATATTTTGTTAAAACGAAATGGATGAGCCACTCTAAGTATTTGACAACGGGGCACCGTGAAATAGTCCCGTTTCCAAAAAAATTTCAAATTTGGGAGATAATTTTATCAGACAGCAAACAGGTCAAGTAATCAAGTGCAAGAGGTCCACAAGTTTGCGGTGGACATTACAAAGCCCATTTTTCGTTGAGATTTCCCGCATAATTTAGAGGCATGATTCCTAGCATTTGTAAATTGCTATTCACCACTTTTGCTAATTCATGCCTACCTATAACAGGCTTGGATACATAAAGGGAGCATACCACAGTACAATAGCCACAGGTCGGGGGGAATTTTCTCCATTTATTTTTCTTGTCTTCTGTCTACGTACACTCTACTCATCCCCCCAACAACATAGCATCGAACCCTTCGCCTATACCGGCTAAACCTACTCTCAAAGAACTCACTGCTGACTAATGCCAGAAACTTCTCGAATCTTTCTGTAACCAACACCTGACTAACAAAAAGAAACGCTTATATTACTACAATTTAACTGTAATGGAATATCTGGGAAAGCAGATTTCCTAGCCCAGAATTAAATCCACATTCAGGAAATCAAGTTGAAGTCGTAAGCCCTCCTTATGTCCTTTCTACCCACTCAAACTTAATAACCGAAACGAAGAGGGTGGCAGCGTCCTCATTGCTATCCTTGAATCTATACAGTACGAAGAACTAACTCTAAATACCCACGATACGCTATAAACTATGAGTATCCAGTGGTATCCCGTTCGTCGAAACTTCGTATCAGTAAAATTACATAACTGCTAGATCTAACTTTCCTCCCAGGTACACTTGGTGACGTCATCACTCCCTCTGGAGTTCGAAGAAGATCAACGTGATCAAGTACTCTAATGAAATCACCGAATCCACTCTTGCATCATTAAATCACGACACCCAAACAATAGTACATTTTAATTCTGATGCACAATATTCCTCACCTCTTATTTCCCCGTCATCACAGTCCTTTTTACTTTCTTCATCCTGGACCCCAATCAATCAAATCCCATACTTATCGAATTAGCACTCGATGATGAATTATGTTCTTGAGTCATACTACATTTGATGATGCAAAAATTGAACAGTGCATATTGTTTCGAACATTTTTTTTATGCTGAGCAACTTTCATGGCCATAACGATGATCAACAAAATTGACAGCTAATGAGATACTAGCGCTTGACTCGCACCTACGCTGCTTCAAACAGATCGTTGAACGTCAAAAAGAGCTTCCTTAAACATATAATAAAACAGCAATATTTAGTGACCCTAATTTAATTCATCCGTGAAGATAAGCTGGGCTTATCTATCAGGGGGTTTCGTTTTCAAACAAAAAGCCATACCTCGAAAAACAAAATGAGTTTAGATAAAATTAGGTAGATAAATTAGAGGGCTGATTTGCTACCCTATATTGTACACCATAGGGTTAAGAACATCGAGTTATAATAATGGTTTTACCATCAAAATTTTTTGAAAAAGAATTGAAAAAATTATGAAAAACGAAACAAGAAAAAATTGAGCAGCCAAAATTAGAGGCCCTGACAGAACCGCCGAAAAATTTTAAGAGCATAAAAATCGCCACATCTCGAAAACCAAAAAAGATTTTAGATGCCAGAGGGCTGATTTTTGTCCCATAGTGTCACCGATAGGATCCCGCCTCAGGGTTGAATATTTGAAGTTCGAATATTTTCTAAGTCGTTTTTTTTGAACAAAAAATTTTAAAAAATCATAAAAAAACGCCCCCTGTCGGAAACAGAAAAAAGATTGTGCAATCAAATTTGGAGGAAAAAAATGCAAACCCTGAGTATACCCCGACAGCACATCAACAAAGGGTGTAAACTGGCAGTACCTCACTATAGGTCTGAGAATTTCAAATTCGGTTACGTTATTGTATATCCAAGTTCTTTTTTTTTGAAATTTTTTTTTAAAAAAATCGCCATATCTTGGAAACTAAAAGGATATGATCAGTCAGAATTAGAAGGCAAGTTCGCAATTCCAATGGGTAACTCATAGAAACCTGCCTTAGAGTTGAGAATTTGAAGTTAGCATAGTTTTTTCGAAAAAAAAAATAAAAAACGCATTATCTCGAAATGGCAAAGAATATGAGCAGCCTTACATGGACGCCAGATTTGCAAATCCTGAGTGTACCCTGACAGCACCCCACTATAGGAATGAGAACTTCAAGTTCGGTTACTTTACTTTATAACTAATTTATTTTTTTGGAAAAAATATTTAAAAAATCATAAAAAACGCCATATCACTAAAACTCAAAGATTTGAGCAGTCATATTTGGACGCCAGCTTTGAAAATCCTTAGTGTACCCTGACAGCATCTATCTATAGGATTGAGAATTTCAAGTTCGCTTTAATTTTTTGAATCTTTTTTTTGGAGAAAAAAAATTTGAAAAATCTTAAGAAACGCAATATCTCGAAAACCAAAAGGAATGGAGCAGTAATACTTGGACGCCAGCTTCGCAACCCCTTAGTGTACCCTGACGGCGGCTCCCATTTATAGGGTTGAGAAAATATTAATTGCGAAACGTTGCGAATATAGGAAAAATGTTAGAGCATTCGCTACAACCGACTTTAAAGCGTCGAATTGCGTAAATATTTCAATCCTTGCAACGTTTTGGCCATACCTCAAACAAACACAAACTACCACAGCTCAAACAAACACAGACAGATCACAGCTCCTAAACAAGCAAAAGTGGTTTGAATGCTGCAATATACATTTTCCGCTCAATCAAATATATAGATAGATCCAAAAAACCCACAACTAGGCCGTATATTTAAGTAAAATTAACCGTTACTAATTCGATGAAATGATGAATTCTCACTAGTTGGGATTGGTTGATAGCGATCAAAAGTTTCGAGGCAATTTTTAAACAATTATTCAAAAATTTACAAGTATGTACAAATATCTACAAATATACAATTTGTCACATCTGTTCCAGTATTTGGAACACTCAAGTATGTACAAATATTTACATATATACAATTCAATTATCGCTCAAGTTTGATTCAGTCCAGTAAAAGATTTTAGTAGTAGTAGTGGAAGGCAACCTTCTAGTAGTCCATGTTGTTAGTCAACATTCTATTTACACTGTTGCTTTGAATCAGTTAAATCCTCCAACAACTTCAGAACACCGCCTACAAGATAAAGGCTCCCAGTAACCAAAACACAGATATTGGCATTGTCGGAAATATTTCTCAGCGAACTCAAAGCACCGTCAATGTGCTCTTCTACTGATACATCTGACCTGTTGTTCATCTCTTTCCATATCGCCATATTTCGATGACATCTATCTATGTGCATAGATACCACAGTCCTAGCATCCTTATGCCTAAACGAATTGTCTGAATCCAAAATAGGTGTCGTCAAAATCACGTGATCAAAAGAGACCTCATTGTTAAAAATTCGTAGGAAATTCTCGTCATTTCTCTCACCTGTAAAAGTACAAACTAAGACTTTCTTCACACTTTGCTGGTGTTCGAATTGCAATTTCGTTTTGAACCATTCTAGGCATAGTTTCAAACTTTCTGCTGTATGCGCAGCGTCTAGGTAAAATGTCAGATTGTCACCGACTTTCACTGTTTCACAGCGGCCAGGCCATCGCACATTCTGTAAGCCTCGTATTACCTTAACGCGATCTAACTTTCCATAACCCATTTGCTCAGCCCATCCATTACTGAGGCTGACAGCCAATGATGCATTTGTTTTCTGATGAAAACCTTCTAATCCTAACTCTACGTCTTCCAGCTCCATATTCATTTTAACCGTTTGCAATTTGACGCCTTTTTCCTCAGCGCAATGTTTCAATTCACTCAACGCTCCAGGAATGGGTTGTTCTATGGTAAAAGCTGGAACACCAGGTTTGAAAATTCCTGCTTTATTCCAAGCGATTTCTTCAATACTGTCGCCCAGAAAGCATTGGTGATCAAAATGTAGAGCTGTTACTCCGCATACAGCGGGTTTCTTGACAATATTTGTTGGATCAAAAGTACCACCCAAGCCAACTTCTAAGACGGCGACATCAACTTTTTCGTCAAGGAAGATTTTGAAAGCTAAAATATTCACTATGAAGATGAAAAAAGGCATATCGAAATCGTCACGTCTCAATGACCAAAGCTTGTTATAAGCCTCAAGAAAATAATCAGCGAACTGTTCCTGTGAAATAGGCTTCCCGTTGATTCTCACTCGTTCGACAAGATCAATCAAATGTGGAGAACTCAAAAAACCAGTTTTAAACCCTGAACTTCTAAGTACACTTTCCGTAAACGCGCACACTGAGCCTTTTCCTTTTGTTCCGCTAACGTGTACAACATTGAGTCTGCTCAAATCGTCTTGCGTTATGCCAGCTCTTTCTAAATATCGCGGAAATGCATCCATCCTCCTTTGTGCAATGCTGATAGAACTACCTACCATTTTCCAGTCTGGCTGAATTGAGTTCGAAATATCGAGTGCTTTTTCGTACTTCTCACACGTCATTTTTGCTAATGGATATCTTCTTAAATTGAAAAAGGATGGGCATTTCGTAGCAAGCGATGTCATCTTCACAGAACGATTTGATATCTAAGCAATTAATCTGGAAAATTAGATGTACAATGAAGAAAAGCACCAATTGATTAGAGCTTTCATAAAAGTAATTGAAAATGTAAACTACGAACGTTTTCGGACACTTATAGTAGTAGAATTGCAGTAGAAAATTTGTTTGCAACATTACAGGAGTTGAATGTGAAGAATGTGAAAATTGGTTTCATGCTAAATATCAAAACATCAGTAACAACGATTACCAAAAAATGGGAAATATAGTATGGTACTGTGAATACTGTTGTAACTTACCAGTGTAACAGTCGCCTACTTAAATCACATATGAGGTTAAAGAAAAATAGGCCCTATAACCATTGGCTCAAGAGTCAGGGACACTATTTCTTGTGTTTTTCTACCTCAAACGGTCGGAGCCAATTCGGTTCACCTGCGACTACAAACCGCGTTACGGCTTAAAGGCTATACCAAAATACCCCACCCCCCCCCCCCCCCCAATCTAGAAATAAGAACACCCCCATGCTTAGGTCTCCGAATACCCAAAACACACGAAAGCCGCTAAAAACAGGGTCGGAAGCTAACTTATACAGTTACTTTTTATTAGACAGTGGTTTTCGATACATTTCAGATGGATCAACCTAAACTCTCCCTAACTCAACTTAATAATTCAAAACACACTTATTAAATTGTGTACTTACATACCGACACGACTTCTAGAATCGAGTAACTAAATTTTTAAGCAACTCTAGAATTAATCCGGTAATAAAGTTTACGCTGCTTTTTTGGACTACTTTCCCGCGATTGTAGCTCGATTCTTCTTGTAACATTCGCCCGGAGGTATAAATCGACGGAAAATAAAGCTAGGTTCTGAAACGAATGGCTAGCGTCTAAACACAGCTCTACATGTTTTTCACCGTCTCTCTCTGCCAAAGCCAGTTCTTTTCGTTGTCTTTCTAACATCGGATCGACAAAAAACGTTTTTGTTTCCGGCTTCGATCAGAACGCTCTAATTAATTTAAATATTTGCAAAATAGTGAGCTCATGGCTGGGTCTCAGTATCCCCAGACCACGAGGTCACACCTAAAAACAGGGCTACTACTTATTTACTATTTTAATTAGGAAGTCTAGTTGTTACTGGTCCTGAATATTAAAATTAAGCAACTCGGTGGTTAGAAGGAACAATGGAAAAATCTCCGTCTTCAAGAGTTTACCCAAGCAGTTCATGTCACCACAAAGTGATCTGTCGTCTTAGTTGAATAAAAAAAAATCATGCAGGCTAGAATATTTTAATATACTCTCCATTCAAGCCTTTCTAAAGCCACTAACTGAAATCATAATGCAAATTTATAAATGCAACAAATTCTTTAATCTTCAAAAGTCAACTGAATGTTTTCTCTTCAGTTTCAATTGCAAACTTAATTTTCTAACACAAATTAATTCTGAATTTTAACATCTTCTCTTTCATTGCTTCTTCTTTTCTCTCTTTGATCAATATTTGTTTTTGTCGTTTTGAAGTTCTAAAACTTCTAAAATCTTCTAATTTTCTTTCTTTTTGCATCTTATTTTTAGGCCATTTGTCAATGTTCCATCTCCTCCTGCGACATTGACTCCGCACTTTCAGTTTCTGTGTCCTGCAATACGTCGGTAGCTATTCCGACGCTGTTGGAGGCAGTCCTCCAACACTTCTGCTCTTCTACTCTTTGTTTACAACAAAATAGAGGATCAACGTTAGTTTCTCTGTTTCGGCAGAAGCTGTTGTGGAGGCACAACGTCACGTTTCTCTGCAAGTATTCCTTCAACATCTCTTCTGTTTCCCTTCCGTCGCATTCATTTGTCCTAGAAGTTCTCTTCACTGCGGTGGTTACTGCATTCCGATGAGTTATAAAGCTCGCTTGAAAGCTCCTGCTCCAATATCCAGCTGATACGCACTGTACACTCTGCCGTGCTTCGATATATGCTTCTTGGCATACTCGTACAACCATGCAGTCATGTTGGCTCTAAACCATGGCATCACTCGTCTCATTGCCCATATCTCTTTCACTTCCATCGGAATGTCAAGATTTTGCACGTTGTCTCAAAAAGATCTAAATCTTTTAGACAATCCAATTCCTGCAATTGTTCTTTCGTCGGCGTTTCTTGTCTATTGTTCTCTCTTACATGAGCTTACAGCCATCGTATCGCCATCATAACTCCTACTATCACTATCGTTATGGGCTGTGATGAATCTGGTAAACCCATGGAGAACCTCTCTCCGCAGTCCCAGATAAACACAAGATTACTACGACCGGGGTCCTACCATGTTTGTAGCAAGCAATGTCAGCGGAACTCATCATGTGTCGACATGATGCTCCTCCAGTTACGCTTTCCCGACGCTTCCAGTAGTGGTTCCACTTCCATCATCACTCGGTGGTTTCCATCATTCTCATCTACTGCACTGTAATCCGTAACTGTTGACCCTTTCTGCTTTTGTCTTTCAAAGTCACTGAAATTCCCACTGGCGTATCCCATGAACTTCTTTCCCAGTATCAATTCTAATTCCTCTAGGGTTCTCTCCGGAACTGCTGAGAACATTTTGCACAGTAACTCGTAAGATTTTTCTGACATTCTCGCTAGTCTTACGCATTTTGGCACTGAGAAGGCTTGATCCACGATCGTTCTCGTGCTTTTCACATCCACCGGTACAAAATGCAATGGGTATCTGCTACTGCACATTAGAGCTAGAGTTGATCCTACTAAATATCTCGCTCCCGTCGGTCTAGGATAGGTTGTCTGACTGTGCCTGATGTTCATTTGCGCCTCGATCGCTTCTCTCCACTTTCCAATACACTTTTGCTCGTTTTGCAAAACTCACGGAAACACTTTTACGCTGATGATCGTAACCATCTCATGTTTTTGTTCTAGATTCAATATTGACTCTAAAGAACCAAACACGATGTAGAATCCTAATGCAGTCACTAGATTCACCTCGGTCCTTCCATGGCAATCTGCAATCAATTCCGTTTCGTTTTTGCTTTCATCACAATGTTCCCAAACAATATCGTCAATTGCTTGTGTTGTTTCTCCAGGGTCTTTACGCAATCCGGGCCTCCATAGATGCGACCTTCCAATCCACAGACTTCTGCCAGACAGCTACCAGGTTTGACACAGTCCTCTGGTTCCCAGCCAGTCAACTCTACTACTGCTGCTCCTTCTTGGGTTATCAGATCCCTCATACTCGTCATTTAGAACACCTTTTCTCCCTTCGATCTTTTTCCTTCTTCCGAATCATACTCCCCGCGTGTCAATCCAGTCATGCACCAAGCGAACCGCAGTTGTAACTCTGTTCTCACATAGGGTATCGCTATCAGAGCGTGTATCTTCGGCGTGGTTCTCATTTCTTCTTCAAAGTATCGTAACACTACTGCTCTTCATGGTAGGCTCATCAACTGCTCGATCGTTTCTGAGTGCATTTCAGACGATACCAGAGTTCCGTACGCCTTCTGCTGTAGGGTGATTCCTTGCATCATCGTCTCCAAAGAACCATCCATGGCACTTCTTTCTTCCAGAACAATTAAATGTCCTCTGGCTGAATTTGTATAAACCAACATCTCCATGTATCCATCGGCGGGTTCATCAATCGATACTGTTTCCGACATTGTCAGTCGGTTATATTCCACTGCGAACAGCGGTCCTTCATTAATCCTGTCAAACACCATCTTTGATCGCATCGTTCACTTTCGGGTTCTTGACAGATACACTACTTCTTCTTTGTTTTCTTGCGGCGTCATCTTTATAGGAGAGTTTGCCTCATTTTCAGCAGTGGCCGAGTCAATCGAAATTTCGGTACAACAAGCTGCCAGCTGATTGATCTTCCTCCTCTCCGTGAACTACCTTGACTTCTTCACAGCCGAAGGGTGCTAGCATGGTTCTAGTCTGTAGTGTTCCGCCCACCGTTGACCCTGGTTTTACGCTCGTTAAGATTAGGGAGGCTTCTGTTGAGTCAGCCTTGCCTCTCATGACCATAGGCGCTAGATCCAATATCACCCATTCCTCGTCAAATCGTCCAGGCTTTGGGGTCGCTGTATTGTTCATTCGTCTCCTGGTTGATTCGTCCGTGTAGGCAAACTGCGTATACTGCAGCACTGCGGCGTTTCTGCGTTTATACTGCAGCACTGCGGCGTTTCAAATTGAGTATACTTCAGCACTGCGGCGTTTCTCTCGTCTCCGTGAACTTTTCCTTGTTTCTCTTTTCTCCTTTACTTCCATTCGTCGGGACCATAAGTCGTTCGACATCGCTACGATTACTCGATGGTCATCGTCAATTCCTGGTTTGAATTTAAGTTGTCGGTTGAAGTTGGACAGTTCCAACCCCAGTACTTCGTCTAATACTAACATGTGTAGTGAATGGTTCTTGAATCCTCCCTTCGCATTCGAGATGTCAGACCACACCGCAGGTAATTCCGCCCTAAGGGGTCTTAGGTTCTCCATCTCTATTCCGCAATTTGGGGCAGATTTGATCACATCATATTTCCCTTCCGAGAGCAAAGCCACCATTGCATACACGAACTTCAGTCTTCAGTCCATCCGGGAGATGTGCATTTCTCGGAGACAGTGCAAACACGGCTCTCCCTGTTATTTTAGTGAAGGCACCTTCTTTCAGCGTGTCTACTACTTCACCCACTGATTCGAGGATATCATTTATAGCTGGCCATACAGCGGCTTCGGCTGTCGTAGCCTCTCTGAGTCTTCTCAGGAAACACGTATACTGCAGCACTGCGGCGTTTCTGCGTTTATACTGCAGCACTGCGGCGTTTCAAACTGCGTATACTTCAGCACTGCGGCGTTTCTCTCGTCTCCGTGGAACTTTTCCTTGTTTCTCTTTTCTCCTTTACTTCCATTCGTCGGGACCATAAGTCGTTCGACATCGCTACGATTACTCGATGGTCATCGTCAATTCCTGGTTTCAATTTAAGTTGTCGGTTGAAGTTGGACAGTTCCAACCCCAATACTTCGTCTAATACTAACATGTGTAGTGAATGGTTCTTGAATCTTCGCAT